ACAACGTACGAGATGTGCTGCTTGTACGTAAGTTGAGAATCTAGAATAACACCCAGATCTTTCACATGGTTCACACGGTCGATTACAGTGCCGATAAGTTTGTATTCAAATGTGATTGGTTCTTTCTTCCGAGTAAAAGTGATCACTGAACACTTAGTGGGGTTAACCACCATTCGGTTCAAATTACACCAGCTGGCAAAGGCTTCGAACTGACGTTGAAGGAAGTGACAGTCATCAATCGAGTGGATTCGTAGGTAGATTTTAAGATCGTCTGCATACGATAGTCGTGGACCTTCGATGACCAAGTTCACGTCATTGAAGTAGAGTAAGAAAATCAAAGGTCCCAGGTGACTTCCTTGAGGTATTCCTGACGTAGCTAGATATATATTGGACCGGTTGTCACCAATGGCAACCATCAGTTGCCGATCAGTGAGATATGAACGAAACCATCGCAAGAGGTTGCCGCTGACCCCAAGTCTATGCAACTTGGCAATCGCGATGGCATGGTTTAGCTTATCGAAGGCAGCTGACAAGTCGGTGTATATGACGTCTGTTTGAGTCCTCTCTGCCATGCTTTCCGTAAGATACGATGTCAAACACAGCAGATTTGTGGAAGTAGAACGACCGGAAGTGAAGCCGTGTTGATCACCACTTAGATACTGCTTACAATGAGAGAGTAGAGGCTCCATGATGACTAACTCGAATAACTTCGAAACTGCGCTCAACGACGTAATTCCACGATAATTGTCCACATCCCGTTTGCTGCCCTTTTTGTGGATAGGAAACATATGTGCGAATTTCCAACAAGATGGAAATGTACCACTCGATATGGACAATCGAAATAGGTGAAGCATGGGCATCAGCAAGCTGGCGATATGCTTTTTCAGGAATACGGATGGAACGCCATCGGGTCCTGGATTGAAGGACGACTTGAGTTGTGGTGCGGCAGTGGAAATCATCTCGACGTTGACATCCATCGCACCCAGTGTTTGACCGTACAGTGGAACATTACTAGCTGCTAGGGTAACGTGTTCGTCAGTTAATCCCTCATTCGTGAAAACACTGGCGAACTTCTCAGAAAACAAGCGACAGATCTGCTGAGAAGTGGATGCAACTGCTCCATTCAACACCATTGAAGAAGGTAGGCCGGCTTCCTTGCGCTGCTCATTTACGTAATTCCAGAATGACTTCGGGTGCGACTTGAGTTTCCTCTGAATCCCTCGTTGATATCGCGAATAGCATCGACGGCTAACTCGCTTGAACTCATAATTGAGCCTAACGTAGTGACGTTTCAGCGAAAGCGTACGATACTTAGTGAATTTTCTTAATGCGGCTCTCTTGGTCGACTTCAACCTACGCAGTTCACTCGTCTGCCAGGGAGGATGAGAAATTTTACGGTGAACTCTTTTCGGAACGTGCCTGTCAATGACATAAGCCAAGACATGTGAAAATTTTTGCGCAGCGGTTTCAACATTATCAGGATCGAGGATGCTCTCCCAATCTAAACTAGATAGCACGTTGACGATACTACGGTGATCGGCTTTCCGGAAATCGTATGACACGGTCGTGGAAATGTCGTCAAAGACCCGATCGTGATTGTCAGCAACAGTGACAACCAAGGGAGGGTGATGATGTACTTGCTTTACTAGTGGAGAAGGTGCCATGGAGATGAAAGGAGCGGTGTCCTGAACGCTAACGAAGCAGAGGTCCAGGCTACGGTTGTTTTCGTTGACTACGTGGTTTATTTGAGATAGTGTTGCTGTACTATAGCAGTCGAGAAGGCTAACTGATCCTGTATGAAATACAGAGTGTACAGGGTCTGGGTAGAGAAAGCCGCTGTAAGATGGTTTCCAGAAAACACCGGGTAGATTGAAGTCGCCCAGAACGATTATCTCATCAGTTGGTGTCGCACTCTCCATTATGGTGAAAACGGATGGTAGCAATCACATATGCACACATTCTTTCTCGTACACATCTTTGTTGATAGTGACGGTAGAGATGAAACTTTTGAATTTCCGAACGCAGCTACATATGGTCTGCCAAACCAGATACTTGTTGGGGAATTTCAAAAGCTATAAAAAGCCAAACCCGGAAGCTGTTGAAAGCCTTCGAGCACGTATGTTTCGTCGTCTATTATGATACAAGAAATGTTTTGCAAAAACTTAGTGAAAAGCTCCTGAGCACAACTTTTTACAGTGAAATGTTGCTTATTATTACGATTGGGCACCTTTTTCACTTTGTACGCCTTCAGCCCATGCCTCTGCTTCACTTTTTGTACATATGATTTCGATTTTCCAACTTTGCAAGCCACATTACAAACTGAAAGGTTTGGATGTTTCTCAATAATGGCTACCACCTTCTGGTCCATTTGTCGAGATAATTCTATAAGTTGTCAGTTGACCTAGGTTGTCATTTGTTTTTCTGACAGCAAATTATACAATAAATTATTTAAAACATCGGGTAATCCACTACTGTGCAGACTTTCTGACAGTATGTCTATGAAAACTTAATCAAATGCACCCTTAAATCTAAAAAGACTGAAGCCAATTGCTCCTTGTGCGCAAAGGCCAGTTGAAAGCAACGCTAGACAATCGTTTGTTCTTTTACTCTTTCGGAAAACAAATTGCGTATTTGAAAGCAGGTTGTTTGATTCAACTCAATTGTCAAATCTTGATAGGATCATTTTTTCTAATAATTTCCTCAGGCATGATAACATAGAGATCGGACGGTAAGAATTGTGATCAGACGCTGGTTCCCCAGGCTTTTAACAGCTATTAGGTTGACCTGTCTCCATGCTGTGGAACTATATTGAGTTCCATAAAGGAATTTTACAGGCTAAGTAAGCGACTTTTAGCGATATCAGGGAGGATTTTAAGAAGGTTGAATTTGATGATATCGCTTCCCGGAGCAGAGTTGTTCGATGAAAGAAGCGCCATTGAAAATTCCAGCATTGTGAATGGTTTCTTCCAGAGAACCGTTACTTCGGGCTGTATCCCGTAAGTTAGTTGTGCTGGGACAGAGTCTGGACAAACCTTTTTAGCGAAGTCGAATATCCATTGAGAGGAGTATTCTTCACTCTCATTGGAGGATGAGTGGTTTCGCATATAGCGAGCCTTTTTTCATAGCGTTGTCATCGAGGTTTCTCAGGGCAAGGTTCTGTGTGAATAGTGGGGAGAGATACAAAACTTCATTTAGAAACGAACCATTTATGCGATTTCTTACCATTTGAGATGAAATAAGATGATTTTCTTAGGAAAATTTCAATATTTCTGCTTATACATATTAATTTCAGAAAGTGTTTGTAAATTTTGAATTCAACCTTCTGATTTCAGATACACTGAATCGGTATAATTTAACTACCTTCGACTTCGACACTTGAGGCCATAAAACTCCAGCAGGCTCAATTCCGACTCCTTTGTTTTGGGTCCAGTCGAAGGGACGCACATATCAAACAGCCATATCTCTACATCATTAAAATAAGATCACTCAAACTCCTAATTGAATATCCCGAATGATGGAGCCTTGATGTCAACATTAGATTACACCATCCAGTAGAATCCAACGTAACTGGCAAATGACACCGAACCAGTTGAAGATCGCAAAATTCATTCTACCAGAAAAAGATTAAACATGAAACATTAACTATAATTTATAGCCACTTTCTGTTGCCAGTGACGCTGTCTGAGAGCTGATGGGACAGTTCTACCGTGGTAATAAAGATTTGCCAAAACCTACATAAAAACCTTCAGTGCGGGTGCTTTTCTGCTTGTCTGTTTGTTTCCTTCCTACTGCTATTGGCTCGAATTGTGAAATTTAAGTACCTGCACGTAGCCGGCTGCGGGCGGTATTGCTGAAAATAGTGGCCATTTCTTGCTCCCATCGGAAAATGAGCGGCGCCTGGCCTGTGGGAAATATATTGGCATCATAAATTATTCTACCGTCATGCTGCTGTTGCTTCCCTTTCACCAAATGTGGTGGCCAAATAGTGTAGTGGTTTTTTTTTCTGTCCCAGATAATATTGTTCCGAAGAAGAGAAATGACATCGAAAATTGACTGAGTTTAATCTTCGTTTCAGACAGCAGCCATGCGGAAGGGTTGACCACTTTGGGTCGGGTATCCTTTGGGATACTTTGAAAGGGTGAAAAGTAGAAAATCTGATAATAGAGAGAACTTCGGGAGGGCTATGGTAGCATACATTTACGGGATGCGTTTGAAAAAGAGACCTGTCTTTTCTAATTTATTCACTTTCATGATCAGCTACTGGTGATCTAATGTAATTTATTATTATTTTTTCGGTCCGTTCAATTCTAATCTTATTGACTGTTTGATGGACAGTTTTGCAGAGAATTGCACGAGTTTGATATTTTGATCACTTTCATAGTGAACATAGGCCGATAGACTTTGAATACTCCGGAAAAAATGGCAATGGGATGAATAATACAAGCCAACACAGAGAGGAAAACGAGAAAAGAAAACTATTGAGATGATAGATTCCGTATTCCTTTCACTCAAGCAAATCCCTTTTCATTTCCCGATTGACCTCAACGTCCCGCAGTGGGACGGCAAATTACCGCCCTTCTCGGTTCGATATCATTCTTTCCGGGCTGCTTTCATGGATCGGTCCAACATGTTCTTTATTCCAATGCTCGCTCTAACGGTAACATCCTTCTCCAACTCTTCCCATTTTCCGGCCTTCCTTTCAGTATCCTCTGTTTGATTTGCTCCGGTGCCTTTGACTATGGGTGTGAAGGAAAATCAGTCGTGATATTGATTCATTGACTATTCACGCTGTGAAGCACACTATAATGGTATTTTATTCAAATCGTTTCAGGGCAGAAATCAACGGCAATTTGTATGCAAATGACTATCAAGAGCTTTCTTTATGCCCTGAGATAACTAAACACTACCATCCTGCTACCACTGGTGCTTCCCAGTGATATTGATTTTTGAGTTGATTTCAATAGTAACACTTGTCCTGTTTTCTCCGCTTCTATTTACAGAACCTTAAAAACCAAATCATGACTACTAACGTGTGGGTAGAACAGGTGAGTAACCGCTGCGATGTAACACATGCAATGTGGTATGTTTTTATCGTACGAAAAGGCTGGAAGCAGGGAAGTGATTGGTGCTGAACAGTTTGATTGCACAGACCTTCCTGGAAGTCAATGCTTAAATTTACGTTTAGTAAAATATATAGTCGATTCCCACATCAACGTAGATTCAGGTGCGTGTGAATGACAAACAGTTTAGGACATTATAAGAAAACCTTGATGACAGCAGTCATGGCTCCCACCTTCCTCCTCCCTGTATTGCCACATCACTTAACCATTCATACCACTACAGTTTACTATTCGACCGATCACTTGGATCACTTGAATGGATATAATGCAAATTTGAGCAACTACCTAGCTGTCGGACGTTGTTTGAAAATGTTTCCCTGTTGGGGCAAGATGAAGACCACACGGAAAGTAAGTAAATGCGCAGTATAGATGTAGGAGGTGCCACAGTGGTCAAAGAAGTACCTTCAAACCTCCGAAGATTTTTGATTAAAATACAGCTAAATATTCTTTACTCTCAGTGTGATTTTTGTTGATTGACAAATCACTCTAGCATTTAGTTTTTTGTGCTGTGCCATCTAGTTTATGTTGAAATTCTCAATTTTGGGGAAATCCTGTACATAAGCTTTTCAATCTCGTCGAGCTGAGTCGTTGGTATATGGCACTTGAACCTAATGAAGTGTATACAGGTGAGGAAATGGCTTTCTTTGCAACTAAAACACAAACCAGGGGTTCATAGATCGAATTAGTGCGTAAAAATACCTCGTGATTTGGGATTTACTTCGTACAGAGAAAACTCGTTATTCGGTTTACTTCGTAAAAAGAGGTTTTGACGTACACACTTAGAAATAACTAATTTTACACGAGACGTTATCCATTTTGGACGTAAATCATAGAACGTAAACAAACAATTCATGTAAAATTAAGTGTTCTCAAACCGAAACATCAGCTAGTCAACGAAGAGAACGTTTGATTGAATTAATTTTCACGTTTCTTTCAACTGATTCTTATGTCAAAAGGCCCGCTTACATGTGTCGGTCTCAGGGAACCGAAATTTACATGACTTTTTAGTAGTGTGTAGGACTACGTCTTTGATTTCTATATGGGGGTACACTTTGTGAAAACTGAAAATGGAACATGTAACAAATTAAGAAAGATTTTGAACGTTAATAACTCAGCTGCCCCTGGTCCAATTTCAATAATGTTATCACCAATCGATTATAAATATGGCTACGCATCGATAACGATAACGAATGTTGATTTTCAACAAGAAACTATTGAAAAACTGGTAAATGCCCAGCATTGCCCAAAAGCGTCGAAATAACTAACAAATCCACCTACATGCGTATGCTGCTTCCCCAGCACAGTCGTCAGAGAGCCGAAACAAGTCGAAGTGGCATTCTTAAATCAAAGATGGCAGCATACGGTTACAGAACAACTGGAAAATACTGTCATATACTCCACAATATGAACATTTTTGCAATCGGGGAGACGTGTAAGGACAGGAAATCGATGACAGACGCCATATTGAAATGCTTCCGGTTTCCGAAAATCTTGAAAATACTGTTAAATACTGCACAATAAGGGAATTTTTGAAATCGGAGTAACGTGTAGGAGCCGAAAATCCATGTCTGAAGCCATTTTGAAATCCAAGATTGCGGCATCCGGTTTCATAAAACATGGAAAATACTGTCCAATACCACAAACTGTCCAATATGGGCATTTTTTTTAAATCAGGGAGAGGTGTAAGTACTGGAAACATGGCTGGCGACATTTTGAAATTCAAGATGGCGTCTTCCAGCTACAGAAAAACAGAAAAATACTGTTTAATAACTCACAATATGGGTATTTTTAGAATCAATTTGATGTGTCGGAACCAAAAATCTATGACGGACGCCATTTTTGATTGATTGGTTGATTTATCTTTATTAAAGAAGGTGTTGAATCAGGGACTTAATCACTGGGTTCAAAGTCGTCGGATAACGCGCACAGAAAGCACTTAACACGCGAGTACTTTAACGAGGTAAAGTTGGACTGTATTTCACTGTTTGTTCTTACTTGTACAAATTGCAACACGCGACGTTGTACGCTGTGCCTGCATAAGGTTTATTACGGACTAAATTATATAAAAATTCTAGGGATCTACACCACTGCGTGCGATGTTTTTTCTTATCGGTTTGCTACCTACACTCGGCCCTACCGTTGATCGTGAAGCGATCGATATGGTACGGGATAGATTGATAAGGGACATTGGGCAGAATAGGTCAACTATATCTCCTACTGTTCATCTACTCGGGTCACTCATGATCGAGTGAGTGATCTTGCAGTGGTATGGTTTTTCTCTAGGTAGAAACCCGTGAAAGTGGTGACCGGTGCGAACATACCAGCCGCCTTGAAATGCCTAGTTTCAACCTTTATTTATACATCGATAGCTATACAAAACAAAAATCTCCTAACATGCAAATCAAAACAAACGTATGTACATAAATAACAATAGATATCACTGTACTGCAGCTGCTGGAATGTATGCCTCGTTCGTCTGTCTCGTCATCGCTCACACGGCCTGTGTGGTCGATGGATGGTTGGGGATCGTCCATGGATTCCTCCTCAATTCGACATCGCTAGTTGACCCTTCGACCTCGCATGAGGCTATCTTCGACCGGAATTCTCTAAATAAAATGAAAGGCGATTTTTTAACAATAAATTACAAAGATCAAACGACTTCCCTGGTCCGCGGAGGCCGTCCGCCTCCGCTAGCGCGGTTGCGCTTCCAATGAACCCGTCGAGTAACCATCAGATGATGAAGAATTGCCTTCAGACCGGATGTTTCAGGGCTGTCCAAGTGGAATTTGGTTGTTGTTGACACTTCGGTATGATTTCGAGGGTGATCCTTGGTCGACAGTTGATGATAAATGGTAGATGAAGGGCAGAGGAACACGGCGGACATCAGAAATTCGGACGTGCGGCTCCAGCCGCGGCGGAGGAACTGGACTATGGACGACAAAACATTCTCTAAGCTTTTTGACCGTTAATTGAAAAACAAAGACTTAACTGGTACGCGGAGACCCGCAGGCCTCCGCAGCGCTCGAAAGCGCTCGATGAAGAAGGAACTAATCCTCCCCTTGAGCTGATGTTGCAGTGGCTTCATTGTCCCGTATTGGCAGGATACAAATTTTGGATATCGCTCGTAGGAACTCTCCGTCCTTCGTGCGAACCTTAACGACGCGGATGTTGCCGTCCTTTCCCGGGTGGATCTCCACTACTCGTCCCATGCGCCACTTGAGGGGTGGTGTGTTATCCTCACATAGCAGCACCATGGTTCCGATGGAGACGTTGTTCCGTTGCCTGGTCCATTTTGTTCGAGCTTGCAGATCAGAAAGGTACTGAGTCGACCAACGCTTCCAGATGTGTTGAAGGAAGTTCTGCACTCGCTGCCATCTCGAAAGCCTGGTCTGATTGAGGTCTTCAAGTGACAGTTCTGGAATTTCTGTGAGTGGTCTTCCCACCAGAAAGTGACCAGGAGTCAGGATTTCCATGTCGTTCGGGTCATTCGAGAGTGGCGTAAGCGGCCTCGAGTTGAGGCAGGCCTCGATTTGCGCCACCAGAGTTGCCATTTCATCAGATGAAATAACCGTGGTTCAAAGGGTACGCTTCAGATGTCCTTTCATCGACTTCACGGCAGCCTCCCAAAGCCCACCAAAATTTGGAGATTTTGCCGGGATGAATTTAAAGTTGATATTGTCCATCGCCGTCTCTTCAGCTACTCTCTTCGCAAATTCCTGGTTATTGAACAGTTTCCGTAGTTCACCCAATTCACGCCGTGCCCCGATGAAATTCGTTGCGTTGTCGCACATGAGGATTTCTGGACGTCCACGGCGTGCGACGAATCTTCTCAACGCAGCGATAAAGGCCTGACTGGTGAGGTCTCCCACGACCTCCAGGTGGACAGCCTTCACTACAAGGCACACAAACACGGCGACGAAGCACTTAATCGGTGCTCCTTTTCTGTACGGGTACTGGATGTAAAACGGACCACAGTAATCCACTCCTACTCGTAAGAAAGGGGGAGCTGGAGTTACTCGTTCCGATGGTAAGTCTGCCATGAGTTGCTCGTGGAGCTTCGGTCGAGCACGAAAGCATTTCACACAGCGATGAATGACCATGCGTGCTAGGTTTCAAGCAGCAATTGGCCAGTATCTTTCCCGCATACTGGCGGTCAGTAGCTGTTGTCCAGCATGGAGATGCTTGCGGTGATAGTCAGTGGCGATGAGAACAGACAGCGGGTGTTGATTGTCAAGAACAATTGGATGCTTCCGGCCAGCCGAAATGTTGGCATTCGCGAGCCAGCCACCGACCAGGATTAACCCGTTTACAAAGCGTGGAGTGAGCTGGTTGATCCTCTATGTAGACTTGACTTCACCATTCTTCTGCAGTTCGGCGAGATCTTCGGGGAAACTTTCCTGTTGGGCAAGAGCTAGCAGCTGACGCAGCGCTTCTTCTCGCTCTTCATATCTGATGAAACCTACTCTACGATCTAAACGGTTCTTGCAGTTGTGGGCGAATCTTCGGATGAGAGCTACTAATCGGAGAAGATCGTTCACAGACGATCGTAGACCGAAGACTGGACTGGTCTCGATCACTTGAGCAGCAGCTGACACAGTAGTTCTTTCTTCAAGAAGAGAGGGATCCAGGTGTTCAGTAGTGATTGTAGCAGTTGTCGGCCAGGATGTCTTATCCTGCCGAAGCCAGGATGGTCCGTGCCACCACATTTGGTAGTTCTTCAGTATATCAGGCGTCATTCCCCGTGATAGAACATCAGCGGGATTCTCTAACCCAGCGATGTGGTTCCAGATTCCTCCACGAGAAATGTGTTGGATTTCTGACACCCTGTTGGCCACGAACATATTCCAGCGAGAGGGTGGAGAAGCGATCCAGCATTTGACGATCATCGAGTCAGTCCAAAAGTATGGTTGAACAGTTATCTTGAT